TACTTCTTCGAGTTATTGTGACATATGCTATCATATTGAATGATTGTAGCCATTTTTATTGTTTCCTTCATATACTGCCAATGACGAAAGTAACACGCAGAAACTCACAACCATTCGTCAGATCAACAAGTCATGGAGCTCCCTCTCCTTCGACAAGGACTATAGCAAATTTCCAAGCCGATCAACAACAATATCATTCCAACCATGCTGTAATCAATTCCGATAGTATCCATTCTAGGCCCAATGACCCCATCTCATCCATCACGACCACTCTAGTGACATGACACATCAATAAAATCTAAAGCCACAAGAAAATGGACCTGAGTTATTGATCATTTCTATACACCCCCGTCTATTTACCTCTACGTGAGAAGGGTTCTATTGGCACGTGCGTCGTCCGTGCAATTATTAGCTGTAATGAGGGCACAAGATGCCAAGTGTTTAGGGTTCACATATTGGGACTCGTGAATTATGAATATTTTGAGGTTATGTACTTCGTGGAGATTATTGGATAAAAGCTGGTGTGAAAGTGGTTATTCTCATCTAGTTGCCACCTGTCATTCCTTTAATTGTTCTCACCAGATTTAAACTGTGTTCAACTTACTCTTCTGTGTTATTACTTGTGGTGTTCCGCTGTTAATGGTAGTTTCTATTTCCTATGGTAAGCACTATATCATTATTGTCATTATGCGTGGTTTTGTTAATGGTGACTCCAAAAAAAAAAAAATCTCTTAAGTAGTATTTTTTCTTATCATCTAAATAGTGGTTATTAACTTTGCATCTGGAAGGAGAAGCGGAGAACAAATATAGTGGTAGAGAAATTTGGGGTGCAAAGTCGTGAAAGAGGAAGAAGAAGAACGAAGAAAAGAAAAAAAAATAATTAAATGAGGTGGACTAACTGGTGAAAAGTAATTTTCAGATTATGTACAACCTGAGCCATATCAGGTAAGAGATTCAAACGTAGGCTATTTTTTGATGGACTGTTGGGCCAAGTGACAAAGAACGTAATCCCCCCAAATCACATATGTAGGTTCCGTGAATTCACTGAATTGTCTCTTTGTTATAATACACGAAATAATACTACTTTCACATTCTTGTTGGGGGAGTTTTGATATGGCCGGTTGAATTTTGACCATAATTAATTTGGTCAGAGAAGTGTCATTGGCTATAAATAATTTCTTTTTACAAATGGCAATACTTTATCTGAAGTGCTATGGAATTTTCAATTATGTAAGAAACTATCGTTAACTTGAATAAGTTTCCTTAATGACCTTTTTTTGTGTGCACTATGAACTAATATAAATTGGCCTTAATATAACGTAATATCTCCTCTATATAGATAATTGGTTTAGCCCTAATCCATTGTATTGATATACTTCTTCGAGTTATTGTGATATATATTATCATATTGAATGGTTGTAGCCATTTTTATTGTTTCCTTCATATACTGCCAATGAAGAAAGTAACACACAGAAACACATAACCATTCGTCAGATCAACAAGTCATGGAGCTCCCTCTCCTTCGACAAGGACTATAGCAAATTTCCAAGCTGATCAGCAACAATATCATTCCAACCATGCTGTAATCAATTCCGATAGTAACCATTCTAGGTCCAATGACCCCATTTCATCCAACACGACCACTCTAGTGACATGACACATCAATAAAATCTAAAGCCACAAGAAAATGGATCCTGAGTTATTGATCATTTCTATACACCCTCGTCTATTTACCTCTACGTGAGAAGGGTTCTATTGGCACGTGCGTCGTCCGTGCAATTATTAGCTGTAATGAGGGCACAAGATGCCAAGTATTTAGGGTTCACATATTGGGACTCGTGAATTATGAATATTTTGAGGTTATGTACTTTGTGGAGATTATTGGATAAAAGCTGGTGTGAAAGTGGTTATTCTCATCTAGTTGCTCCCTGTCATTCCTTTAATTGTTCTCACCAAATTTAAACTTTGTTCAACTTACTCTTATGTGTTATTACTTGTGGTGTTCCGCTGTTAATGGTAGTTTCTATTTCCTATGGTAAGCACTATATCATTATTGTCATTATGCGTAGTTTTGTTGTACTCTGTTAGTTCTCCACTTATACTTGCTCGGGTTATTTAGTCCAGTAGGTGTCTTGATTGTTCCTCGTCACTACTCCACTGAGGTTAGTCTTGATACTTGCTGGGTACAGCTGTGGTGTACTCATACTATGCTTCTTCACATTTTTGTGCAGATCCAGGTATTTCGGAGTTGGTCGATAGTTAGCTAGCTATATGGATTTTGCTGTGGAGACTCTAAGTAAACATCCTGCTGTGTTCGCAGATTTCGGAGTCACCTTTTGATATTGTGTTTATATTGTTTGTCCTTATTTCAAAACAGTTGTATTTGCAAACCTCCTAGTAACTCAATGGAGCTTATGACTTGTACTGCCGTTTTTGAAATTTGTAAATTTGTTAAGAGTTTTCTATTTTGAAATTATCAGATGTTAGTTAAATATTGTTATTATTTTCGTTAATGTTAGGTTGACCTATTCCCTAAGACTAGGTGCCATCACGACACCCAACGGAGGGAATTTGGATCGTGACAGTAACAGTTTAATGTTATGATGTAAATGACACCAAGTAGCCACTGTTAAGCATATTTTTTAAATATATGCACAGTTTACAATATATTTAAAGATTAGCCAATTCACTCAAACTTCAGAACATCGTTTCCTAAAGTTCGAAAATTGTAGCCAGAATTTAAATTTTATGTCCTGAATTTTAAATTAGCAGTTCAAAATTCAAGACACTTAGTCCTGACTTTTAAATTAGCAGCTCAAAAATTTAGGATACTAAGTTTTGAATTTCAAATTAGCAGCTCAAAAATTCAGGATACAGAAATTCAAGATACTTAGTCCTGAAGTTTGGGTGAATTAGCTAATTTTTAAATACACAGTAAATTGTGATATATATTCTAAAAACAAGCTTAAAAGTGGCTACTAATACACTTCGCCCAATGTTGTTTGCTATTGGATTATCGGTTCGGGTCTCAATTTGCCTAATTTTATTAACGGATTAACTGATAATCCAATAAGCTTAATCAAAATTATAATCTTATCCTTAAGTATATAAAACCACCTTAGTGCTTCAGTCTCTCAATCTCTCAATCATCACTCTTCATCTTCAGACCTTACTCCTTAGGATAAGTTTTAAACATTTATGAATTTCTCATCTTCAGTCTTCAGTTAAGATTTTTAGTTTTAAACTTTAAATAATTAACTGTTCAGATTTTTAATTTTTCTATTTGTTTCTTTTGTAGCATTGATTCTTTAGCATTTACAAGAGTAGGATTTTACTATTTTTCTATAAATATGTTCGCCATACAGAGATAGTTAGTAATATTTATTTATTCTTTGCGCCGATAGTCTATCAGAAACAGCCCATTTACCTTCACAAATGTAGGGGTAAGGTCTGCGTACATCCTATCCTCGCTAGACTCCACTTGTGGATTTTTACTGTGCTTGTTGTTGTTGTTGTTGTTGAATGTCTTATTAATTACTCCTACTAACTTATTTCTTTTGTTGGCTTTGAGAATTCAAATCATCTGCTGGGATTTTCACATGTGAAAAAAGTTTTATATTCGAAAGTTGAAATTTAGTCTCTCTTTTTTTAAGAACAAATATCCAGTTTCTTTCTCTTAACAATATGATCATGATTTCTTTAATAAAAATATGAAATTTTTGGATTTTTTTATTCTTATTGTGTAAATCGATAACCGAACCGATAACGATCGATAACTGACAAACTGATATTCGGTAACTGATATCTTATCAATTTGATTATCGATTTAACTTATTTATAAATCGATAATCAATATGTGGAACGAATAAGATTCACAAGCGAATGGAACCGAATGATACCCACCCTTAATTATTAGAGGTGGAAAAAGAAAACAAAAAATGAAGGTCATATGGAAGCATTTGGGGAAATAATGTACTTCAGGAGATTTTATCACGATCCCTACATTTTCCCCAACCCTGACATATAAGACAAGTAAAACAGAAAGACCAAACATATTTAAAAAATAAAAAGAAAAAGTATGTTGAAAGACTATTTCCTTTAATGTTATCTTTGATATTTGTAGGAGCGGGCGTTCAGGCAGTTCGGGTTAAATATGAAAATTTCGTTCGGATATCCGATTTTCGAATTAAATAAATGACAATCCAAATAAGCTCGGATTGAATCGGATATTTAAGTTCGGTTTTGGATTTATCGGTTTGGATATTTTGAATTTTCGATTTTGAACCTATAAGTTGAAATGTTTCTTCTTCTTAAAAAAATGAACATCCACATAAATCTATCTATAATTAAAAGCAAAAGACAAAAGCCCCTCATGAAGCCAAATGGCAAAACAATAACATGACACATGGCATGTTAGGACATTACTCCTTATTATTAGGAACTACACTAATTGGATTACCCTTCAACCAATTCTTCTAAAAAACGTCAGATCCCTTCTGTGCATTTTACTTATTTTAAATTTTTTTTCAATTATTAAATCATTTTATTTGGAATAAACCACCAGCTTCCTCAAAAATAGCAGTGGGCTTCTACACGTTTCAGTTGTAACTGTTTCGTTTTCTACATATTATCTTTACGTTCAAACTGTTTCTTTTTCTTTACAATTTTTTTTCTTCAATTATTAAATCATTTTAATACTTAAAAACCGCCTACTTCCTCAATTATTAGGAACTGTTATTTTAAGTTGTAACTGTTTCGTTAATAGATGCCTTCTGTGCATTTTTTTATTTTAATTTTTTTTTTCCAATTATTAAATCATTGTAATACTAAAAGCCGCCTGCTTCCTTAAAAATAGGAATGGCCTTCAAAACCTTTCAGTTCTAAACCGTTCAAACTCCTTTTCAATTATCTCAATTTTTAATGTTTTTAAAATATTAAATCATTTTTTTTTAAAACTTTTGCTCCACAATATTAGGTAATTACTTTCTACCTTCAAGTTAACCTAAATTTTCTCTCCAACTTGCCGATGGATTCAACTGCTTAACCCACGTACTGTATACTGGGTAGCAACTGCTCAAGCGTGGAGGACTTTATATTTCTTCCACAACTAGACGTTCTTCAATTCTAAACTTCTTTCTTTTATCAAGATTTGAAGAAAACTTACGGCTTATGCATAAGATGGCTACTCACATTGATTTCATCAACGATATAACTATTTCGAAGATGTAATGGAAGTTGAAAGTTCGTGTTGTCCGTTTGTGGGAAGTACCGGATTAATCCAGGGACTATATTCTCGATTGAATTGGTTCTACAAGATGAAAAGGTATTTTAAATTTGTTTTTAACTTGCTAATTCTGTTTGGTTTTCGGAATTGTTATTGTTATATGATTATCGACCATATCTTTGTTTTGTATAATCTAAAATGTTATTTGATTTGATTATACCATACTAGAGGATTCTGATTCCTCTACACTTTTGAGCCCCATAGCTTGAGGGAATATTCAAGCTCAGAATTATCAAAATCTCTTCATTTTTTTTTTAAAAAGAATCAAAATCTCTTCATATGTTCATTCATTACATATACTTAGGTTTGAGTTTTACTCTTCTCTAAGGAAAAATATCTCAACTGTTCTGTTCAATTTTTTCGGAGCGGTAATGTTACTGTCCTACCGTTTAGCTTTCAGTGAAGTGAAATATTCAGGTCTTAACATTCTGGCCTGATAGCTTGATTTTGACCATGAATTATTACTCTACACAGAGGCCTGAAAGAGAAACTCTAAAGGATTTTCCTCAAAATCTCTTCATTTTTTTTTAAAAAGAATCAAAATCTCTTCATATGTTCACTCATTACATGGTATAATAGCACTCGCAAAACACAATTGTATAATTGACATTTCGAGACAAGTTTGAGGGATACTTATGCCTCTTCCATGAATAACCACAACGTAAGTGCGTTATATATCTTTGAACTTAACTAGAAGAAATTGAGAACTTTTGCGTTGTGGACTGTCAAGTTATTTGTTCAACTCTACTGTTTAAAAGTTGAGTTAATATAAATTACTATTACTAGAAATTTGTAATCTCTGTTATGTAATGTAATGTGCTTTTAATTATAGATAGATTTTTTTGTAGGGCGATCGGATAAGTGCTTCTATTGGCAAGTCAGTTTTGCATCTTTTCAAAACACAAATAATTGAGCTTGGATTATATCATATGGCGAACTTTATCGTTTGTCATAATAAGGAGAAGTTCAACACCACGAAACATAGGTTGAGGCTGACGTTTACTCAACGGACAACAGTGGTTGAAACAACTGATACACTTTTCCCAATGAATATCTTTGATTTGCGACCATATGATCAATTGATAAATAATGTTGACGTGAACGAGACTGAATTATTTGGTAAATATAACTTTTGCGTTAAATTTCTAATTATGATTTTTTCTACTATTTAGTTTAACAATTTTTTTGTTTTTTAGATGTCATTGGAGAAATTGTCAATTTCAATGAGGTACATACGCAAAACCAAGGTGGAATTTCTAGGAAATTTATGGATATTGAACTAGAAGATGACGAGTAAGAATAAATATTCATCTACTCATTAAGGATTGATTTGATAATTACATATGCTAAAATTATATTATTATTTCTATTTGACAGGAGGAAGAAGTTGTCTGCTATATTTTGGGGCGAGTTTGTTGATGAAATTGTACCTCATCTGCTAAGTGCTAACAACCAGCCTATTATTGTTGTTATGCAGCTCATAAAAGCCCATAAACTATCAAGGTAAATATAATACTGAATTTAACATTACTTTNTGCAGCTCATAAAAGCCCATACATTTCAACGTAAAATACAATTATTCAATTTGACATTACTGTGTCAAAGTTATTCATTATATCTAACACGAACGTTGTTTTGTAGATTCATGTTCTGTGCGCAATACTTGGAATGCATCAAAGCTGTGGATTAATCGAAAATTTCCTCAATCTGATGAATTTAAAACACGGTCAATATATATATATATATATATATATATATATATAAAATTTCACTGCTTATATACTCTAATCAAATTTTCCACATAAGTTATCTAACTGTTTTACTCATTCATAAACACAGATTGCTTTCTGTACGGGATAATAACTCCGAGAGGCTGACTCAAACCATCTCTCAACAAAGTTACTTAGTCTCGGATGAGTTGGAGAAGGGAATTGTTCAAGTTAAAACAATTGGCCAATTAGTGAAGTCCATGCAAGTGAGTAAACTAAGTTTTGTAGTATTAATTTAAATTGTGTTTCATTTTAAAAGTTGCAAAAATTCACATATTTTTTTCTATTATTTTATGGTTTTTAAAATGAGTTGAGCATTTACAAACGTTACAAGTAGAGATATCCATATGCGCTGAAGAAGAAATGGTTTGGAGTCTTTAGTTGGGCTGAGTGACTTTAGTTGGTCTTACTGAGTATAATAGTTATATTAGTAGTAGTAGTAGTAGTAGTAGTATTACATAGTAGTGGTCCATATGTTTGAGAGGACATCAAATCAATTGTATTAGCATATTTTTTCTCTTCAATCTGAATGCCATTCTTGCTTTTATTTTGATTGGCAAGGCTTTGTGTTTACATTAATGAAAATAGTTGTTTAGTTCCTGTCTTACGTTGTTTAAAAGAATAGAGAAAATTCTAATTGTGGAGTCAACTCCTCAATGATCCACTGAGTTTGTAAGTTGAGTTCTTAGTTTTTCTGTTTCCTGTGAATGTTTGTTTTCTTGGTATATGTGATCTCTCATCATTGAGTACCACTTGAAAATGACCTTGAATTCGAAGAATGATTTAGGTTCTAATGCTTTTTCCACTCTAGGGTAAATGCATTGTAAGGTAGTAACAGATTAACAACTTGCTACTCCAATTCCTCTAAAGTTCTCACTGATATTGTTTAATAAAAATAATATCATTCTGAGGTAGCTATGAATATTCCATAGAATCATAATGTAGAAGTTATAACAATGTCTCATTTTTTGGCATACTGAGACTTTGGAAAAAAATAAAGAGATGTGCAATGATATATGGTCTGTAATCAGACTCAGCGAGAACCCCGCCCACTTGCCATAGCATGTAGCTTTCTCCTTTTATCCTGTCCAATCAAGACCAGGTCCATCAGTGCTCCTAGATGTTTAATGTAGCAAGCCACAGGCAAAGAAAATCACACCATAGTAGCAATTCAACTTTTATAGAAAATTATCGCAACCAGAAATTTCATTATAGCTGAATTTATCTATATTTGAACTCTTAAGTCATATAAACTACATCGCCTAGCTTTTGATCAACGACATGTTGGCACAGCTCATCTCTAAATCCTAATCCATATCATATAGGTACCTATCCCTTCCTCATGTCAATGAATCGCCACATGGACCATCTTTTTTATGTCTTTACATTACATTTCAACTTTATTTTTGGGTATTAGGATTCTTATTTTATGGTTTGAAAGAGTGTTTCCTCATTTCGAAGATGAAAAATTCTTCAATTACATTTGTGTTATTTGTTTAATATTCTTATAGATCATAATCTCTATGTCTTTTCATTACATTTGTCTTATCAATTTATTCAACAATTGTCTAATCAATTTATTCAACAGGAATGTCCATGTTGGATTGTCGCAAGTATTGAAAATTTAGAACTTGAAAAAGGATGGTCGTACGTCAGCTGCAAGAAGTGTCAAAAGAAGGTGGATAAATTAGGAAACATTTATCAATGCCCAAACCCCAAATGTAAACATGAAGATTACTCAGCAGTTATTAGGTAAAACCATCATCTATATTTCCTTAATCCTTCAAAATATTACATTTATATCTCAAATCAAATGTGCATTTAGGTACAAGCTTCAGGTTAGGGTACTGGATACTACTGGATCTGTTTCCCTATTGCTCTGGGACCGTGAAACCATGTTTCTCATAGGCAAATCCGCAAAAGAATTGAAGGAAGGGTTTCTTGAGGTATATCAACTAATTAAATTTAAATATGTTATTTGCAAAATTGTAACTCAACATTTCATTCTAGAATACTGGCGCTGTTGAGAAGTATCCCTATCCAGTAGAGCTGAACAATATTCTCCAAAGAAAATTCATGTTTAAGGTTATTATCAAGAGAGAGAACATTCACCTGCAAAAGGAAGTTTACAGTGTTGTTAAGCTTACGGATGAGGAGCAACTGATAAACAAATATAGTTCTGATCAACCTTCAGATGACTTAACTGTATGTCATATTTGTTCACAAACTTCATAGCATATTTAGATTGCAAATTTCTTTTACATTGCATGATTTGAATCATAATTTCAAACTCATTTATTTATTAATTTTTGGTAGGAACCTGACTTCAATAATAATCAAGTCTTGGATGGAGAGAAGGAATGCGAGGTAAATACATAACTACTTTGTCCTTTAACATTAAAGCTACTTACATATGTTGAAGGATTTCTCTCTGAATAAATTTACAGATTTGGAATAGTTTTTTTATAACTTTAAAAGTTGTAGATGCGCACTTGGTTTTTTCTTTCTGAATCTATGAACACAGTATTAATATTTTTTAGATTATTCATTTTTTTGATTATATTATTTGTAGGGTATAAATTAATAAATCTTTAGTAAATATTTGTTCATTACTGATTTGCACTAATTTTGTATTTTATATATGCAGGATTCCACTGAAGACAACGACTTAACAGATATTGCACACACACCAGCCAAGATAGGTATAACTAATACCGCAACAATGGTTGAAGAAGATCCGAATGCACAATTGTCAGGAAATAAAATGAAGAGAGTATTTAAGAAGAAGAAAACAACATAAGGTGTTTGTGAATCTTACCTTTGGAAAAATCAAGAACTATTATAGATAGATTTAGTATATTATTAGTTAAGAACAGTATATCTGAATCATTTCATCTTAATTGTCCGGTTTAACTTTTCAGTTTTACTTTATGTCGAGATTTGAATAGACAAATATGCTTCTAAGCTGGAAGAAACTACAAATAGCACCCATGTCTTTGTTTTCTTATTGAGAAATGTATTGACTGTTAGAAACCAAATTCTGCTTGATGTCTCCATATTATTGTAAAGATGCATCCTTGTTAAGGAGATACGGTCATGGTGAAATCAGTTGTAAGGATATATAGGAGGGTGGTTTAGAAGAAAATATGGAACATAAAGGCACAAAAAATGTAGGTTTTTTCATATCGTTCACAGTACACAGTGCATTATTTATGACATATAACTTAAGCAAGGAAGCAGATAATGATAATTTTGTCCACTTGTCTGTGGAGTTCACAGAGGAGACTAGCCATCTGCCCTTTGCATTGTAGTTTTGTTAACATCTTTTTTGAAATCAGCATTCTCGCTGTTCAACATAGCGCAGGTGTTAACTGCGACTGTGACAAAGGCACTCGCAAGTTAGGATGTTTACAGAGGATTGGCAATGAAAGGAAGGAAACAGATGAATGCCTTTCCTGAAAATTTTCGGCCAACTTGGAGTGAAAGAAATGGAATGTCCTGTGAAAGAGTGCTTGGAATGTAAAATGTATTAAAATCTCATCTTATTTCTTTTTTTTTTTTTGTAAAATATCTATAGATGATTTGAATAATAACAGATGTATGTATGTGGTCGATCACACACACTTTCGATATACTTTTGACACCATTTGGTGTTTATTAATGAAAAAACCTTTTAAACAAAATACTTTAGTCAATGAAAGATCCCCACNATTTGGGGCCAAAATTCATTTCTTTAATCAGTGTACGTATAACCTTTAAACTTTAACATTACGAACGAGGAAGACTAAAGAAAAAAAAATGCACACAATTTAAACGTAGATAAAATAAGAGAAAATGTTAATATTGAGTCATTTTGGGCAGCAAATTTGTTAATGAAGCACCGAAGCGAGGGTCAGTTTGCGAAACCGGCACGGGAGCATAAGACACCAGAAAAGTCTTTGACAGCAAAGCCAGGGTCAATTCGCAAGATCGGGACTTGAGCATAAGAGACCATAAAAATCCCGAACAGCGAAGGGAGGGTCACTACTGCGAGTACGGGTTTAGAGGGATATCATATGTTGCATGGTCTAGAGGGATATCATTGTCGATAAAAATAATTTTTGGTCGTAAAAAACCAACAAACGTGTCTGAAAGGAACATAAGGGAAAAAAATACAATCTACAAATAACTGTTAGTTATGATATTAAATTGAAACATTTTTATGATTATTGCATTTTTCACCCCTTTATTAAAAATTTTTATTCACGTGTGCGCGCGAGTGTCTGTATATATATCCTTTCTAGCAAATTATCTCATACTTGCTCGGCGAAACCACACATTTAATGTTCACTTTTTCATTACGAGTTTAAAAATTCCCTCAGGCAGAGACGGATCCAAGATTTTAATTCTATGGGTTCAAACCTATTATATTTTTAAAGTTATTGGTTGATAAGTATTATTTTTTTAATTTTAATGAGTTTTTACATATAAATTTTTCCTCTCCCTCAAAAGTTTGGGTTCATTTGAACCCATAGACGGTACCCTACATCCGCCTCCGCCCTCAGGTTGGTATCCCGTTAGTGATCAAGGCAACAACAATATCTTTTCGTGCCAGTGAGACGGGGGTAATATTTGACCAAGACTCTAAACAAGAACAAAATTGCGCAATTTCAAATAATATATAAATAAATTAGACTATTGTCCCATGTTTAAATGCAATTATTTTGAAAGTAATATGGGAAACACCTATTAGCAGAAGAAAAAAATGTGAAGGTATATCGGATAAAGCAAAAGAAACCCAACTTTTTAAAATACAATATTGGTTTCTCCTCAAAATAAGTACACAAATGTAATTCTATTTACGTTGTGTTACATACCAAAAATTAATTTCAATATTATCGATCGGTAAAAGAAAATACTTGGATTTATATTAAAATATTGATTTACTTAATAAAATTAGATGAATTAAAAAAGGCCCATTAATTGCGAAAAATAGGCGCAGTTTATGCCCCTGTTTCGTCAGTTGTAAAGATACGACTTTACAACTTCTCAGACCTAAAACAGTTTCTACAGAAATTTGACATGGAAGAGGAGAAGAAGCTCGCAAGAAAAAATCGGATGAACAGCTTGAAGCAGAAACGACCGAAATATTGTTCGTATAATAAAGGTATGAACTTTTATGCACTATTTCATGAAGCAGACTCTGTGTTCAATACTTTCAAATACGACATATTTCCGAACTACTCTTCTGTTATATATGATTTTCGTTCGGCAAATTGCCTTTGAGTCGCACTAAAGTACTGAGAGTCAGTTACACCTGAAATTGTGCGCTTCGCGTTAAATATAAACTGTATTGTACACCATTAAGTGATGTTATTGGTGTTGTTAAGATTATTTTACAACTGATGTGTTATGAGTGGTTTAAACATTTGCATATAGGTATTCTTCACACTTTAAGCAGATTTGCATATAAGCGACGCGAAGCGCTCTACGTGTTTTAAGCCTTGCTTTAGGGCTTTAGCGCGCCTTTGATAACATTGGTCTTATGGTCGTGTCTGTTATTGGTTTGAGGCCTCCTACCTGATCTGCCGCACAAAATTTCTGTCCCAGTGCTTATATACTGTGATGACCCGACCCGTCGTATCAGGTATTACTGCCCCGTTTTCCTCATTTATTACTTCTTCATGTTTCATTACCGGTATGTGGTGAGTTAGAGTTGATTCGGATTGGTTTTGATAAGAAATGAGACACTTAGTCTCTTTTAAGAAGGCTTAAGTTGGAAAAGTCAACCGGACGTTGACTTATGAGTTAGAGGGCTCGGATGTGATTTTCGATGATTCGCTTAGCTTGGGGAGATGATTTGTGACTTGGGAGCGTGATCGGAATTTACTTTGGAGGTCCGGTGTAGAATTAGGCTTGAATTGGCGAAGTTAGTATTTTGGCGAATTCCGATTGATAGGTGGGATTTTGATATAGGGGTCGGAATGGAATTCCGAGAGTTGCAGTAGCTCTGTTATGTCATTGGGGATGTGCGTGCAAAGTTTCAGATCATTCGGACGAGGTTTGGTAGACTTTTTGATCGAAAGTGCATTTCGGAAGTTTTTGAAGAACTTAGGCTTGAATCCGATGTGATTTGATAGTTTTAGCGTTGTTTGATGTGTTTTGATGATTGGAACAAGTTTGAATGATGTTATGGGATATGTCTGTGCTTTTGGTTGAGGTCCCGGGGGCCTCAGGTGAGTTTCGGGGTGGTTTCGGACCATTTCTAGGCCATTTTTAGCTGCTGGTTTTTGGCTACAGCAGTGTTCTATGCGATCTCGGGGAATTGGTCGCGATCGCGGTGAGTAAAATGTGAGAAACGTGCCAATGAATCGCGATCGCGTGAAGCCTTTCGCGATCGCGGAGAAGAAATATTCTGTTGCGTTGATCCCACTTCGGAAGCTTATATCTCACAATCTATAAGGAATTTGGAGATGATCCAAAAATGAAAATTGTAGTCCTTTGTGTCTAGTTTTCAGAAATGTAAATTAATTGCAATTTAAAGTTGTGTACAAAAAGTTATGGTGGTTACACTATAGGCTGCCTGGGAAGGTCTCTAATACACAGGGATGACTTTGGAAGCTTATATCTCGCAATGTATAAGGAGTCAGGAAATGAGCAACATATGAAATTATAGCCCTATGTGTCTAGTTTTCAGAACATCAAACCATTCATAATTTGGAGTTGTGTGCAAAAAGTCATGACCACTATACTGGAGGCTGTCCGGAAGAGCTGGGAACTGTTCATCGCGATCGCGAAGCATTGTCCGCGATTGCGAAGAGTAAATTTTGGGCTGGAAAAATTGTTCTCCGCGATCGCGAAGCATTTTCCGCGATCGCGAAGAGTAAATACCTGGGCAGAATGTTTTAAAACACGTCAGTCGCATTTTTGGGGTCATTTTACACCATAATTGCTCGTTTTTGGAGATTCTTGAAGGAGATTAACGAGGGATTCAAGGGGGAACGTTTGGAGGTAAGTTTCTTGGACTCAAAACTCATTTTTATTGTGAAATCCATCTAGGAAATCATTGAATTTTTGCTAAAATGGAGGAATAGGGCTTGGAATTTTCAAATTTTTAAATTGGGATTTGAAGGGCAATTGTGGATGGATTTTGATGTTCTTAGTATGTATGAACTCGTGAGGAGATAAGGAATCCGGTGATGTGAATTTTGTAATTTTTCGAGAAGTGGGCCCGGGGCTCGGGTTTTTCCAACTTTGTGATTTTCGATGTTTTTCGAGTGATTTTGGTTAGATTCGGCGCGCGTGGAGGCCGATTTGAGGGGCAAAGGCGTCGCGGGTTTGAGATTTCACCGGTTCGAGGTGAGTAATGATTATAAATGATATTCTGAGGGTTTGAAACCCCGGATTTGCACCCATAGTGCTATATTGAGGTGACTTGCACGCCAGATAGAGAGCGTGGGGTAGAGCACCGTTGGGGATTGTGACTTGGTCCGTCCCGGTTGTTGATTTTACCGCGTATTTCTCTATGACTTGTTGTTTTTCACTAGGACTTGGGCTTATTGCCATATTTGGGGCTTATTGCCGACTGTTTGAACTCCCTATGAGCTATCATCACTGTTTTCCTCACTATTTGAAATATTATTTGAACTCAGTCCATTGTCATTATACTGTTTCATGAACTCAGCTATATTTTTACTCAACCTCGAGTTTTAAGTGATATTTGAACTACTGTTTGAGCTGAGCATTATTGTTTCTTTACTGATGCCCGAGGGGCTTATGATTATTTTTGGACTGATTGAGGCCGAGGGCCATATGTGAGGATATGCTGAGTGATGTGAGGAGGCTTTCAGGCCTCGAGTGTATTGTGAGGAGGCTTTCAGGCCTCGAGTGTATGTGAGAAGGCTTTCAGGCCTCATGTTGATATGTACAGGCTTTCAGGCCTTATAATGATATAGCGCTTGGGCTGTAGGAGCCCCTCCGGAGTCTGCACACCCATAGTGAGCGCGGGTACCCATCTAGAGCGGTTGAATTTTAGACGGTGGTAACAATGACACTGTCATACGCGTTTTGGTCAGGTAACAATGACTGACCAGTGGTAACAATGGCACTGTAATACGCGTTTTGGTCAGGTAACAATGGTTGACCGGTCAGGTAACAATG